GAGAACCAACATCTGTCACCACAGCCGGTTGCTGCAACACCAACGCCACCCTGAGCCATTAGAACCATGAACAATAGCGCCTCCATTCCAGACAATTATCTTCCCATTGTTTTTCTTTCCTATTCATCGTCTTGCATGCAGAACGTGCACCATGCATGTTTATACAAGCAAATGAACATATAATTACTCTGTTATTGTGCATGAGCATAGTAATCAAGTAATTGCATTTGGGATGTTTACTATGCACATGAACAGTAACCAGCCCGGGTTGGATCATAAGCCCAACCCATGGGCCGAGTCCAACCCAATAGGAGATAGTTTGCATTTTGTTGGGTTGATCTCGACCAAGTTTTTTAGGCCAGGTTCGGCCTGTTCTAAAAAATATATAAAAAAAATTAAAATAATAATAAAAAAAATTTCTTCAAAAATTATTTCAAAAAAATTCATGATTTTTGTAATGAATTTTGCTTAGTATTGATTTGTATTTTTATACCATAAAGATACAAATGTAGTATTAAAATACTACAATTTTGTCAAAACATTGAAAAATTAAAAAAAAAAACAAAAAATATTTTTGTTTTCAAGCACACGACCAAGTATCTAAAGAAAAAAAATCATATCATATTTTCATACAACAAAGATTAAAAAATTTGTATTAACATGCATTTTGGTTTTAATAACCAGTTTATTAAATTCACGAGAACTAGGCTAATATGTAAAAAATTCCAAAAAAAATATTTTATTTTCTTTTAGTATTCGGGGTTAAGACCTTATACATAAAACATATTTTGAATATTACATTTTTTTTGTTGATATTAGAATGGTTAAGTTTACCCAATAAGATAAGTATCTCTTTACTAAGGAAGACTTTTTTTAAACCATATACGAATCAATAAATAAAAAGCACGGCAATACCTTAGATTTTATCAGACGATAAAACAATGCAATTTACCTTAAGTAGGTGTATTTGAAGTGCTAATACCTTTCCTTTACGCCACTAGTCCCTTACCCGATCTCTAAGACTAGTTAGGGTTTCTAGTAACTATAATACTCGGTGGTGACTCTCATTTCATTTAACTGACAAAAGATAAGAATTCCTTGTCTTCTAATATTTTTTACATTTAGATATTATTTTAAGAGTGAATGTTTTTACCCCGATGTCATACACTTACAACAATCTAATAAAGATTCTAACTAACCAATCAAATAAGGATTCTAATAAACAAGTCTTCCACAAATCTTTTTTCATTAAGATGCCTACACTAACTAGGATTTTATCTAACAAAAAAGTAATACAATAAAAATAAAAATAATTATATTAAAAAATAATAAAGATAGTGTCCCATGTCAATCTCAAATTAGAAAACTCTCCCTGCCTCTCGCCTATATATACAGTTCCATTTCCTCCCCTTCCATATCGCACTGTGAAAGAAAGGAAAGATGGCAGATGACTTTTGCACCGGTAAGCGACATAAAGCAGTACTCTGGAAACTTTCTGTTTAGAAATAAATTCGAGACAATTTATTTTTCTCATCATTTATCATTTAGCCATGCAAATTTTGGCGTGCTTATGTACACTAGAGCGTGATAATTTTGCCAATATAATATACATGATCATATAAATATGCTGTTCTTTCTCCATGATAATTAATTGAGTATTTTTGGAAGTCTTTGCATAGTAGTTTTGCGTGATTAAAGCATCGAAAACTATTTTAAAATCTCTATTTAGCAGCTTGAACTTTTACTGATAACAAGAGATAGCTTGTTCAAGCCTACGTCTTCTATTCTTTGAATGATTAGCCTTTTATATATTTTATCAATATCACTTGACCTTTCTTCTTACACTCGCCAAGGGTTTGGGCCATCCCATGCTGCCAACACATTCAGCGTCGCTTAATGGAGGAATAGGTTGAAGACAAAGTGCCATGCAATTACCATAACACCTGTAGAGACCTGGGCCTCGCAAGATTGCAAAGGAGAACACCTCCGCCTGTAACGGTGTCTCAATTTAAACACTACGTACAAAACTGAACACGTCTGCAACGACAAAAAATGCAAAAGCAAATAGAAAAAAACAAATATAAAAGATATTGTTAAAAATAAATGTATCAAAGTCAAACAAAAACTGTATACATAGCCTTTTTTTAAGAACAAAAGACAATGTATTAAATATTGGAGCATTAATAGGGCCAAGTCAATTTGTCAACATTGAAAGATACCGGCTCAGATATTTCTTTGAGAAGCAACCTAGCTAGCTATTTTATGTGTATATAATCTCCATCAAGGGGGCAACAACTCACTCAATTCTCAACACACTCAGCAGCCGTGCGAAGAGTGAGCAATGACGTCTCAGTGTCCAGGTAAGGCTAAGGAAATTATGCACGCCCTTTCGTTTTCCTCTATGATTTTGAAGTGTTATACACCATGTGATAGCAAATATCATTATGACGGAAACTTTCAGGTAAGAGTTCGTGGCCAGAGCTGGTTAGGGCATACGGGGAGGCGGCGGCGGCTACCATTGAGAGAGAGAACAGAAATGTTGATGCAATTGTCTTGCGAGAAGGAACTCCAGTGACCAAGGATTTTAGGTGCAACAGGGTTTGGGTTTGGGTCAATGAACAAGGGGTTGTGACTCGAGTTCCTCAGATTGGCTAAGATATAGCAAAGATATGATTAGTCCACCTTTTTGGAGGGACATCAAGAAAATTATCAAACAAAATCAGTAGCGGTAATCATGAATAAATCGAGTTTTCATTTTCCTCTCTAAGCACATGTATTATGCTATAATAAAGTTGATATCTTGGCCTGTTTGAATAAAACGTGTTCCTTACTTTTTTGTTTAATGCTTTATATCATTCTTGAATTATAAATGTTGGAAACTTTGGGTTAAATTTAATTCACCTACTACTTCCCCTCCAAGGGGTGACTTTGCACTGCTTGCTTTGTATGCTATTCTACTTTTCTCAAAACAAGAATAAAGGAGTCCGAATGTTGAAACTGGAATTTGATTCCCAGCTGGTGTATCAGTTTATATCGAGTAGCTAAAGGGACGAGGAGGTTGTCTGGTATAATCGTTGGGCAAAAACTAGAAATTTGCTCAGCAAAAACTGGGCTGTTAAACTTCACATGTGGGCGGCGACTCGGTGTCGATGAGGCGAACTTTTATGTGGATGGCTCCCGAATTTTACAGTGAGCCTTGATCATGACACTATGTTTTCCTAGAGGTCTCTCCTTTTCTTTTTAAATGATCATCGATCTATTTAGGGATTGGAGAGGAACTCGAAAGAGACTGCTTTTGTGTCTGGCCACTTTGGCCCTCCTGCAAACAAAAAGGTCATTCGTGGGTGGGGGGAGCTAGCTAGTTAGAACACACGCATGATGAATGAGGAGAAGCAACGGCTTGAAGAAGAGAGTAAACTAAAGGCAGATTGATATGATGCAATACAATGTAATTAATGGGATGATTTGTTACATTTAATCTGATTGTAAAATCTTTAGTAATTTAATACAAGTCTTGACAAAGTTTCATTTTAATTAAGCACTATAATTTATTTTTTAAAATTATTTATAAATTTATATTTGTCTACAATAGTTTATTTAAAAATTATAATTTCATATGAAAACATTTTGCCATTAAATCCTTACATGACAGTTCTTAATCATACAATAGTTTAATACAAATGGTATAAATATAGGCAGAGAGAAGGTAGTTTTCTTTGACAAGTGGAAAACCAGGAGCCCGTTCGCATACACCGGCGGTACTTCTTGTTTATAATTTCCTGCCATCCTCCCTGATTCTGATCAACAATATTATTCATTGCTAACTTCAACTGGAGGCAACTTTTTATGTTTTGGTAGATAGGGAGGCAGCTAGTTGAGAGCTTAAAAAAAAAATAAGACAAGGTCAACTTTAGTAATTCATTGAGATAACACCCTTTAAGAAACAAATCTCTAAAATCACTTAATTCTTCACGCGAATATGCCTACTCTCTTGACAAGTTGGAATTGCAAGCATTAAATAACCTAATTTGAGCGTGTATAGTTGAACGATTGCATAAGGAGGTGAACATGAATATCTAAATTCCATGTAATGTCTTCACACTACAGATCCATTATATTTCTTTAACACGTAAAACAGATAGTACATATTCTATTTTATATGATAATTTTTTAAAAAATTATTGTATTATATAAAAATATTTAATTAATAATAATTTTTTAATTTTTTAAGTTATTATTTTTTTTTATATTTGCTGGCTTTGTAAAAAAAAATATATTACACTTGATTATACGAGAGAGATGTGGAAACAATTCTTCAACCCACACAAAACATAATTCATGTTTGTAGTAAGAGGTTAGATATACTAATGAACCTGATAAAAAATAGATTTATAGTATTTTCAATATTTGATTTAAGATATATAAATGAACCATAATGATTCGATCGTTATAATCTCACAATTAAGATTTAGCCAACAATCATCAATTTTCTAGATAATTATACAATACCATGTTCAAATTGAAATGACTCAACTTAATACTAAGATAACCTAACTCATAGATAAATTAAATGTCATAAAGCAGTTGTTAGCAATTCTCACTGGTCATCACCCTCATGGTTTTGGCAAAAATCTATTTCTATCTTTTCCTTTGGCTTTTGTCAATGAATTGATAACATGTATTTAATAATATTTTTTAAATTATTAATTAAAACTTGCTTTATTTCGTCCAGCTTTGTTTCATGGCATGGCCAGGCCGTTTGAATATTGATCAGCGTAACCGCCAGAATATGCTTGTGAAAATCACATGGAACCCGCCCCTTATTACTGCGAAAGAAATCATGATCATTTTCTTAATTAATTATGCCTTAAGCACGCCATTCCCAATAACTGGGACTTAATTTTGAGCAGTTTCGAGGCATGATCAGACAGAGAGACTATTGCAAATTGCAAAAGAACTTTCCGCGTGAAGTTAGTAGTGGCCCAGACATCTGAGTTCCCAATCATAATTATAATGAGAGATCGAAAGGACCTAAACATAGTTAAAAAAAAACCATTTCAAAGCAATGTTCTGTACCACATGGTTCAGATTCTCCACCACAGCAAGCTTTAACATAATAAATAGATTTGGCAAGGGTTAGCAGTAAGACCATCTTCCGTGCCAGTGGGAGAGTTTTAAAATTATCGAAGGCTGATAATAAAACTCCCTATGCCCGTAAAGATGTAGACTGTAGCGTTACGAATTTCTGAATAAGCAATTCAGGGTTGTCCTGAAGCAATTCATGGATTCTCACCTTGGACACGGAACAGCATCCTACTTGTGCAGAATGTTTACAAGAACCGTTATGCTTACCATTCCAGTTCATCTTCTGTGCGTAGAAAAAAGGCTTTATTAATGTGAGCTCTCATCAGTCATCTTGATCTACTGAAGAATCGAAATTGCTTCTATGAGGGGGCTTGATATGAGATCAAAAGCACAAGAAAGTGTTCTCTCTCTCACTCAGTGTGTGCGCGGGGGTGCATCGCGACAGAGGTGCTTGCATGCTCGCAAATATATGTATGTTTCTATTTGGAACAGGCTTTTCTAGGTTATCATGTTTCAGCTAGCAATTGTAGTAGCAGTTAGAACAATAACATGCACGCATGGAAGCAAAAGGAAATATTACAGTGGATATACTAACCTCATAACGAAGAATAGAAACTCAAGGAACAGATTGGTCACTATTTTTCATCCCTATTTTCCGCGATTTTTGCAGATGATGAGCTATTTCTTGAACAAACTGCGATCCCTCTTTTCCAGATTGAAGAGAATTGAAAGCATGCTCCAGAAAATTCTTATCAAATTCAAGTGCTTCCAATCTCCCATTAAGGTCTGATATCTCCTTTTCAAGAACAACCAAATCAATCTCGTTATGTTGCTCGGAGGTTTTTTGTCCAATGAAAACTGGATGATTACTTTCGTTGCAAACATCTTGATCTTTGGCAATTAAAGCGCTGGATTTTTCATGGGCAGGGAGGCTTCCATTAGATACAGGTGAATCCTTTTGCGTTGACAAACTATCCTCCTTTGTCTGATCATTTGTTCGGCTCCCCTCATAGGCAAGAGATTCTCCCTCGTTGAGAGCTCCATGAGCTTCCTCGGAATAATCACCATTAGACACGAATTGTGAAGCCCCATGAGATGCAAATTGATGAAGTTTCCTCTCCAAACCCTTCAAACGTTGTGAAATGAGCAACAGTTCATCATCATATTCTGACCAAAAAGATTTGGCAGTAGCAGGTTTTTCATTGTCATTCAAGACCTCCCTAAACGATGAGCTACAAGGAACATTGGTATCATCATCACCTTTGGAAGTATTCTCTAAACTCATATTTTTCTCCTTCAGATCGTAACTTTTCACATGTATTGTCTCCGCCACTGGTTCATCGGGGGTGTTTAATCGTAAAAAATCTATCTCTGCTTCCAAATCCTGTATTTGTTTCTCCCTCTCAGCCAGAAGATCATTAGCTTTTTCAAGAGCCTCTACGTCATGCTCTGCTTGCTCTTCCATCATTCTTAGGTACTGCAGGGCCTCCATATGAAGTGCTGCCTTCTCCTCTTGCAGCCTATTGATCATGGCCATTGCCTGATTTGCAGCAATCGCAGAAGCACTTCTTTCTTCTTCTAATTCCTCGTACAAATCGCTTATGCGTCTTTTATCATGCTTCACTTGTCGCTTTAACCGATCAACAATACTTTCACCTTCAATGTCACTGACAAAGCTTCCATCGAGAGATTCAAGACCAGATGATTCAGCTCTTTCAGTCTGGAGCATCTGTACTCCATTAGGCCCCAAAGCATCATTCATCTCCAATTCATCCCCACGACCTTCCACCCCATTGATTTTATTATTCAATGATAAATCAGGAACTTCAGCGAAAACATTTTCTGTTGGCAACTCCAAATTTTCATCAACTCTTTCACTTTCATTCGCAGTCCCTTTTTCTGCCATAAAAGTGCGCGCTTCTCCTTCCTCGCTATTGGCAGCAGGCTTCCACACGTCAATTAGATCCACATTACATGAATTTATGGAAGGTACTTCAGTAGCAACCCGATCACCTCCTCTGATTGACGTAGTTAATTTTGAAATTTCCTTGTGCTTGTTGATGGATACATATCGCCCGTCCCCTTTTCCAGTGTAGTCTGCTGCTAGAAACAATTCCAGGATGGAAATAAGTTGCTTATAAAACAGTTATCCTCACACAAGCACACAGAAAGGACGAGTGGAAAGATAGGAAGAACTTACAATTCCTTTCTGATGCTTCCAGAGGACCTTCAACAGCACTAAATGACGAGGGAACTACGAGTGTCATGAGATCAGAGAGTGCAGAAAGATTGTAGTTCGGAAAGAAAGGAAACTTGAGCTCACTTCTCACTGATGGCACTCCAGGAGGAGTCCCCATTACACTGGAGGAAGGACAATCATCTAAAGAAATAAGCTCAGGTAGTGCAGAAGGACAGTTTTCATGATCAGCTTGCTGCCGGTTCAGATCAACATCAGAAGCCAAGCTTCTCAAGGAATGATGCGTCATCTTCTCTGAGTTTATACCATCAGTCAGTGTTTTGGGTGGAACTGTGGACTCTTCCTTCAGCTCTTTCATTTTGTTACCAATACTACTGCCTTCATCATCATCAAAAAATGGAAATTCAGAATCAGAATCAAAAGTGTACTTGAGCTCCGCGTATCCTACATGAGAGCGGGGATTGTAATCACACCTTACAAGATGGTGAGATGTTACAGACCCAGGAAATTTCTTTCTCTTTTTCCTTGTATTTTCACGGTGGGTCAGATGACTGGGCAAAGGAATATTGGGCTTAGTCATCGCACTGCTAGGTGATTTCAGTTGGGCTATTCTGTTGGAAGTTTGTCTTGATCTCTTGCAACATGAGCACATCCTCGTACCAACAGAACCAGAAACAAGCTCCCTGTTCTGCAATGAGTTCTGGAAACCAGGAGCACCAATATCAAACCCAAACTTACCCATCAACAGCCTGTTTATGTCTGGGCTTGGTACGCTTTTCATAGTGGCTGACAATTGGCATTCCTCACACATACCGTAGCCATCAGCAAGCTTCCCATGAATGTGACAAGAAATCAAGGATGATATTTCAGATCTATGGTTTCTGCAGATTAATTTTTTATAAAATCCAGGTTTTTCATTTCCCAGAAAATGATCGAGCCTGGAACAAAACATGCAAGGTATTTGCAATCCGCAATAACTTGCAAATTTTGTCAGCAGATACGAAAGTACAGAATCAATAAGCAGCCAAAAGAGCAAAAACCATTCACAAGCTGCAGATTGTAGAACTGTTGTGAAACCCTGCAGATTCCTCTGTACTTTAATAAATGAAGTGCCAGTTGCAGCCATTTCCACCGGAAACACACTAACACTTCATAAATTTCTGAATTCACCGAATAGAAAAAAAGGCTATTATTCACCAAAATACTGAACTCACCAATCATCCAAATGCATATTGTCTGAATTCAATGCAGCAAGTTGCCACAACCCCCAGAAACCACAAACAATTAAATCTCAGAAATAGCTAAATTACAAATAAATCTGCAGAGATGCTTTTGAAAAATTAATAAAGTAGAAATATCTTAGAAATAAAAGGATACTCAACTCTACTGTCCGCTTTTACACACGTTTTAATGTTAAACAAGGCACAAATAAAAGGATCGTGAACTGTGGAAAACCCTCATAAAAATGGACAGTTGGAACAAATTCTTCAATAACCTTCAAAGAGATGGAAACCTGGCTCTGAATTCAAAAGAAAAACAGTACAGATTTAGCCCGAGCCAGTTGCCCAATGTAGTAATGAAATCAACCGACAAACAATAAGAAGAATACTAATCACCATAAAGAAAAAGATCCTCCACCGAACCCAACTGCACAACATAATGTTAGAATCAGCTAACAACCACCATAATGATGACAAACATCAAATTAAATGTGCAAACCAAACCGATTAATGCTACGAAGCCCAACCAGATTCACTTTTGAGATTGCCTTTATACTTTGTCCCTCCCAGAAATTAAAAACAAAAAACAACAGATTATTACTTCTGAATTTCTCATCATCATGAATTTACTAACATTTCTTCATGCATGATCTGCACCTTTTCAACGTTGAAAACACAAATGCCGACAGGTTAAGAACGGGCTAAACCAAACATTATACATGCAAAGCAAGAGGGTCAATGAGAAATACACTGTACAAGGCAACTACAACACAGATTTTTTTAAAAAAAATTGCACTTTAGCACAAGCGTTTCGACGAAAGGCAACAAAATGAAAACCTGAGAAGGAATAAAATGTACCTGGGACACGATGGAATTTATAGAGGAAGGAGAATAGAAGAACACTGCCGTATTAAAAGATTACAAGTTTGAGAATAAAATTAGAAAAGAGAGAAAAGAAAGCAAAGATAAGAGGGAGACTTATAAGGTGGTTGATTATTACTGAGAAAAACGAGTGACCGTGTCTTTGATAATTATATGGTTCCAGGCTTGGAGATATCATTAGATTTTACATCTTTAGTGAGATCAAAGACATTCTTAAACATAAATTACTTATAAATTATATGCATTTTAATGTTAAGTTCTGAATTCAATAGGATAAAAGGAAAGATAAAAAATTTCTAACCGAAATGCTCATGAAGTTATACTTGTAACTTGTTTTTTTACCATCTTGTTCAAGGCAGGCCCTCGGCGTTGAATCGGCCTTATATCGAAGCATAAATTACTTGTTATATATAAAAATAATCATGATTAATATCTTATGCTTCAATGCCTAAATCATCATGCAAAGCAGAGAAAGAAAATGGACCTCAACCACCAACGCACAGCTTTCTTTTTGGTTCAGAAAATGGATCTCCACAACTTACAATATCTAGCCATCTTCATACTGGATAGTTGGAACATTTCAAAAGAGTTCTAATTAGCTTTGTTTCTTTTCCGTTTTGAAGAATCTTTCGGATTTCAACAATCGATTCTGACAAATCATTAAGGATTAAAAAATGAGTCGGAAGATCAGCACAATCTTCTCTAACATTGCAGACCTATCATTAGAGGCTGCTACAGATGCCGATTTGTTCATATTCAATGATGTCCATCGCGTTCATACTACCATCACATCATAGACATTTAATTCTTCAATCACGATATTTTTTTGGATATATATAAATTTAGTATTTTTTTTCAAAGTTATTAAACTAGTATCCCATTAAAAGGTTGAATCATGCTCTCCAAGTTAATTTTTCGAGTCCAACCAAGTTGGCCTTTTTATATTTGTAACAGAGGTTTTCGCAAGAAACTTTCGATGTCACTCCTCTCTAAAAAACCCAAACCAATTAATAGAATAATATCAATTTCAAGGCCCATCATTTTCAAAAATTAGTATTAGTTGGACAAGGGCTGCAAGAACACAGGCCTAGGCCTGAGTGAACCGCCAACCTACTACACGGGCCTTTTATAGCCCATTTACCCAGTCCAGGTAAGAAAATCCCTTGGCCCAGCTTTATATTCTCTCCTTCCTCTCCGCTGTTGAGCTAGGTTGGATTGATGAAGGGATTCTTGGGACCTTTATGTGTAAGTTGAAGTCTTGTGTTCTGGATTTGATTTCTTACTTTTTTGGTTTTAATAATTTGATGGAGATGATGATGATGAGGTGGGTTTGGATTGCAGAGGCTTGGAGGTATTAGAGGCTATTCAGGGACGTTTAAGAGATCACAGTTGCGGCTTGAAGGGGTTAAGGATGTTATTGCTGTTGCTTCTGGTAAAGGTGGCGTTGGAAAATCCACCACTGCTGGTATTATTTTTTTTGGTTTCCATCTCTTTTTTAATGTTTTTCCTACTTTGTAGTCTGGGGGGACATGAGTTGAAAGGGTTTGTTTCATTTGGAGCTTTTAAATAAGTTTTTTCTCATGATTCTTGTTAAAAAGAAGAGTCTTTTTTTGTGTGTTATCAGACTAATATGGAGAAGATACGTGATGGAATTTGGGGCAGGTGATAAATTTAGCATGAAGGAGAAATTTCCTTTCTTTTTGTCAGTTTTGCTGAGCTGATGAGGCAATTTGGTGGTTACATAATGTTCCAACTTCTGGGTCAATGATTGTGTGCTAATTTTTGTGAAATGACTACTTCATTAGGTTTCATTTTGAAATATTTGCTTTTTATGTGGATGTTTTAAAGAGTAGTGGAAGGTGGAAATTGTGAGTTGTGGCAACTAGAATCGGTTTCTTTGAATTTAAATGCGATTACCGTGTTATAGGCCTTGTCTTTATACATATGATTAAATGCTGATTGATTGTATTCATTTAAGCAAACTGTTGGATCTGCAGTTAATTTGGCAGTTGCACTTGCTAAGAATTGCCAGCTAAAGGTGGGCCTGCTTGATGCTGATGTTTATGGACCATCTGTTCCTATGATGATGAAGATTGACAGGAAGCCAGATATTACTGAAGGTAATGCTTTAATTTTCTAATGTGTTCAAGAAGGTACGTTGTCAATTTATGGTAGCAATTTATATGGATATCAATAAGTTGATCCTGTAAGTGTAATAGCAAGGGATTTGAGATAGGAAGAAGTTGTTCCTGAGCTATTCTAAGGTTGTTTCCTAACTTTAGTCGATTTCATTCTTCAATGTTCTCATTTCTCATTTTCACTATTGAATTATGTATTGTGCTTTGTACCTTACTTAATGTGTATTTTGAAAACATACTTAAATACACGAGCAAGTGAATTTATCCTGTAAGTCATCTTTGAATTTATCATGCATGGCAGATGCAAATGTCAGAGAATGAGTTCTTGTTCTTTTAATTTCTTTCACTTCAGTATTCTTCAACATGGCTAGAAGTTGTGTGAATTTAACATCTAGTGGGAACTTGAGGTCATACAAGATCACACCCAAACACATGTAAGAGAGGAACATAACTTCCCTTCTCTCTCACTCTTGCAGATAAAAAGATGATTCCAATTGAGAACTATGGAGTTAAATGCATGTCAATGGGATTTCTTGTTGAGAAGGATGCCCCTATTGTATGGAGAGGTCCCATGGTATGTTAGTCTGTTATATATTTCCTTCATTAGGTTAATTCATCTTTCAGATGGGACGCGATCTACATTAAGTGGTCTTATGAACAACTTAAACAAAATTTCAACAATTTGTTGTTAATTAATGTAAAGATGATGTTTTCCCTTTTCTTTTAGTTCAGGTGATGAGTGCTCTTGCCAAAATGACTAGGGGAGTTGATTGGGGAAATCTTGACATTCTTGTGGTGGATATGCCCCCTGGCACTGGCGATGCACAACTAACCATGACTCAAAATCTGCAGCTCTCTGGTAAGCAAGGCTTTTTTCAATTAGCCAAGGGAAAAGGCAAGCAATGCTCTCCATTTCTAGTTTAGGTTTCTTTAAAGAAGTTGTGCTGATTTAATTATCTAATTGATGGCTGCCATTATGCTGACACTGTGACCATTATATTGAAAATGATTTAGCTGAATATTTCATCAGGCTTTTTTCTCATTATATTGTTGTGGATATATATTGGATTCATTCCAACCATTCCATAAGCAGTAAAACCTTTGCCTTGATAATTAAGTGAAAAAATTGTGATGATCTCCATGTGCTTTTGTTGATTCATTCAGCCTGTTTTCCACATGTGATATAACACCCTATATCCAAGTAGGGGCCAAAAAAGAAAGCCTTTCCTATTTTATTGTCAACAAGGGAGTCTGATTTGGTAACATATATTCTGCTTGTACAGGTGCATTGATTGTTTCAACTCCACAAGATATTGCTTTGATGGATGCTCGTTGAGGAGCTAATATGTTCTCTAAAGTTGATGTTCCTGTATGATCATTTCTTTTGCCAAAATCTGAAGATGTCATTTTATTCAGTAACTAGTGAAAAAAATCAGTAATTTGGCTTAGATAATGGAGAATTATTGGATGGTGCATAAAAGCTGATTATGATCAGTGCCATGAGATTTTTGGTTATAAATCACAATGGTGACAACAGACAATGCATTTATAAGTTTTGGGGCTCAATATGCATGTGAAACATGCTAGCATCCGTTGGTGGATGGATATGTTTCTCTTGCATGCATGTGCTGTCCCTAAAATGAAAGCAAGTGAATCTGTTACTTGCCATGGAGGGATATGGGATTTATATTCTATTGTTTGTCATCTTTTATAGTAAAGGAAATAAAACTGCTTTAAATAATCTATTTATAAGTATTCTAATGACGTTTACAGATTTTGGGATTTGTAGAGAACATGAGTTTCTTCAAATGCCCACATTGTGGTGAACCTTCATTCATTTTTGGGAAAGAAGGAACTAGAAATGCAGCTGCTTCAATGGGTTACAACTTAATCGGTGAGGTATGCCAATTTTTTAATAATAAAAAAACAGCTTAAAGTGTCCTTGAGGTGCTGGACCTTGGTTCAGTATTTTTGGAAAACAAGGAATTTTGATATTCTTCTTGTCTTAGTCTTCTTGTTGCATCTTCGGCACATTCCAAGCTGTCTTATGTTTTGATTTACATTGGACATGATGAACGCAACCTTTTGATGACTCTACTTGATTTGTAACTAGTAATTAACTTTCATTGACATTATGATTTTTCAGATACCATTGGAAGTAGACATTAGAAAAGGTTCCGATGAAGGTGTCCCTGTTGTAATTTCAGCACCTGATTCTGTGATCTCCAAAGCATATGGTGATACAGCACAAAATGTTGTCAGCAAACTTGAGGAATTGGCAAAGGAACAATCTCTCCACCCAGAGATTAATCTGTAAAAACTTTGCTAGAAGAACAATTTTCCTCCCCTCCCATCACCATCGACTACTTGTTCATGACTTTCCAATTTCCTTAGCTGCTATAGCATGCCAATTTTAACATCTCTTGTTGTTTTCGTTGTTTGAATAAGTTAAATGTAATTTTAGGATTAGGGCATAAGAAGAGTTGAGAGCGATTTGCTCCAGATCTCAGCCAGTGATTCTGTTCTCTCGAGATTATTTAACTACAAGACAAGTGTGTGGAACAATGGGGGTATGTGTTGGTCTTTCCTGACATCATTTCCTGTCTAGCCACCATATGGACATTGATTTTAATTTTTCTTGAAGTTATAGCACTAGTATAATATTTCATTTATTCTTGAATGGTCACAAAAAGGGAATCCTGCTGCTACAATGACTTGCTGGTGACTTCATTTTTAGGTTACAGATAAGTATTTGAAACACTTTTGTTAACATAACTCAATTAATTCTTACCAAAGTCATCATAAGAGGAAAAACCTTCAAAAAATTGAAAAAACCCACAGGTTTTGAAGGAAAAACTTGCAGCTCAAGGCATCATCCTGGCAGCCTGGTAGTCTTTCTGCAATTAGCATGAGCATGTCATGTGTGTCCTTTTCCGTTTGTACCTTTGCTTACAAGACATTGATTTGTGGTGTTTAGCTTATTGCAACTCAGGATTGTTTTGGAGTATCTTTTGGGGATTTGCAACTTGGTCTCTGCTACTTTAGAATCACCTTTTAACAGCATGTATTCTCATCCAGAGAGAGGAAACTAGAATGTGAATCTAGCGTGTCCCCGCTTCAAGGTGGATGTCTTCTTCTTCTTCTCCCTTTTTTATCCAGAGATTCGCAGGGTTCTTTCCTGTGAGGCAAGTGTATTTCATTTCATTACAAATTACAATATAATATAGTGAGTTGGGATAGTTTTAGAAATGAGAATTCGCCCACAATAATTAAATCATGAGATTCCAATGCCATCGCTACAAGACTTCTTGACTGCAAAATGACCTAATTCACCTATTGGAATTCAATGGATATATTTTGTTATTTGGGATCCAGTAATCGCATCCCCCACTTCTGCTTTGTTGTTCGTTTCTTCACATTCTTCTTGGCCAAGCTACTAGCAAATCATCCATGACTATTTCATGCACAGAATTTTCTTTATCTTGCAGCCTCTTTTTTATTCAGATACGAGATGATATATAGTATGAAAATAAATCTAAGTTAACAAGGAAAAAACCTGAAATATAAAAGCTCCATTTATTTGTATATTTTAAAAACTTTTTTGAACAAATTTGAAATTTTTTTATTTTTTATTTTAAATTAATATATTTTGATGTTTTTAAATTATTTTGATATGCTGATATCAAAAATAATTTTTAAAAAATAAAAAAATATATTATTTTAATATATTTCTAAATAAAAAACATTTTAAAAAATAATTAAATCTAGTTTATTACACTTAAAGTGATTTATAGAAATTTTAAGTGTTGGAATATTCAAAAGGAATAAAAAGAAAATTATTCGTGTTTGCAATATTAAAATATATTATTAAAAACAATAAAGCTTCTATCATGCATGCACATGAAGGATCAATAGAGCTATTTTTTCTCTAATTTCTCCTTGTTAATGAATTCGAAATATTAAAAATGAAACCTTGCAAGAGAAAGGAAATCAAGGAAAGAAAATCCAAAGAACCAAAAGTTGATCGTCAAAGATTCCTAGACAACAAAACTTCGAAAAAAGGTTGCTGTCTCCACTTGAACTCTCTCGACAACAACATGAGTAGATCAAAAAAACGAAAAACATCCTTAAATATTAACACATACCTCTCAATTTCCTTCCATTCTTCTTCTTTCCTCTCAATCTCCTTCTACCCTGAATGCATCACTGCACTGTAACCCTCGAATCTCCACTCCCTTACCATGCACCCTCTTATCACCCGATCTTCTCTCCCCCTCTTCACCCTGGACATTTTATCCTCCCTTTTACCCCTCCAAAAACTGGAGGACTCCATCACCACCACTCCGTTTTCACCTGCAAAGGAATCCAACTTTCCGTCCCCAGTCATGGCTCGGCCTCGCTTGTCCCTTCAAACGGTAACGGTGCTGCTATTCATGACTGGAAATTAAGGAGTGTTGGTCTAAAAAGTATTGATGTTGCCACTCTGGGAAATCTGTGTGTTGATATTGTTCTTAATGTTCCAAGATTGCCCCCTCGTTCTCGTGAGGCTCGCTTTGCTTATATGCAAGAGCTGTCCAAGTCTCCGCCTGATAGGGTACCGTTCACTCTTCTTTTAGCTAATTTTAATTACTCAATTTTCGGATTCAGTCAGTGCCCAGTATAAATTCCATTGGAAAACATAAGTTTGAGTATCGTATTGGTAGCTTTTAATTGTTTCCTTGTTGATTAATATGGTTTTAATTTGCGGAATATATTTTGATTATTATATGCTGAAAGGAATGAGGTTTAGTTCCTTTAATCTATATTAGCTTTTCATTTGTTTTTTGGTTGTTTCTTATGTGATTTTTGCAAGTTGAGGTAGGAAATGATTTGCATCCAAATAATAACAACAAGGAAAAGAAATAAATTTTGAGTCTTTCATTAAGTAACCCATTTGTTTATGTTTGCTGTTGATTTGGTTTAGGGTTGATTAATTTTATTTTTGAAAAAATAAATTAGCATTTAACTCGTTATCTTAAGAATGACATGGGAAAGCAATTGCATTAGTGACCCATTTGTCTATATTGGTTGTAGTTCTTAAAAGTGATTTCTTTTGCAAGTAGAAATACTGGGAAGCTGGCGGTAACTGCAATATGGCTATTGCAGCTGCAAGATTGGGACTTCATTGCGCCACGATTGGTCATGTGGGTGATGAAATATATGGGCAGTTTTTGCTAGATGTGCTTCGCGAGGAGAGGATTAGCATGGTTGGGATGAGTGAAGATGATGATATTGTTGATAGTACTAGTGCCTCGTATGAGACCCTTTTGTGCTGGGTTCTTGTTGACCCTTTGCAAAGACATGGATTTTGTAGGTAAAAGCTTTCCTGGCTTTGCATAATTAGATTGCTATTTTCTTTCAATAAAAGAAATAGATTGCTATCATCCTTTTGTGCTCAACAGGATATCTTTGTGTCGCTTTTGTTGTTTTCAGTCGAGCAGATTTCTCTAAGGAGCCTGCTTTTTGCTGGATGAGTAAATTATCAGGAGAAGTAAAGGTGGCTATTAAACAGTCAAAGATCCTGTTCTGTAATGGTTTTGGCTTTGATGAACTCTCCCCAGGTCTGATAATGTTAGCTCTAGATTATGCCGTTGACGTTGGGACATCTATTTTCTTTGATCCCGGACCCCGTGGAAAGAGTCTTATGACTGGTTCACCTGAAGAACGACAAGCACTTCGCCATTTCTTGAAGATGAGCGATGTTCTTCTTCTAACATCCGATGAGGTTTGACCAAGAATCTTCTTTGAATGTCTCAAGATTAGCTTCAGTTATCAGCAAAACATATTCACTTTAATCACCTATTGCAAGGTCAAAACTAATCCACTATTGAAAACAATTCCAAAATTCAGATTATCCAAAGTAAAAATATTAATAATAATAATAACAACAACATAAGATCAGATTTGCTTGTGAGGTTGTTATGTCCCATATATTGGCACATGTGTATACCTAGATCTTACAAAATAATAGAAAAGTTTGAGCATGCATGGAATGGTTGGTAAAACAAATTTTTAGAATCCTCTATTTGATGTAAAACATTTAACTAAATTTGAAAAGTTGTATGGAGAGTTGTGGATGAGCTAGTCTGGATCATGCAATGAAACTAACGTCAATATGTAAATTTTATATATATATATATATATATATGCTAACATGGAACCTTACTGCAAGATTTTCAACTATAACTGTTGCCTTGCTCTTTGGATATGATGTCAACTGCAGATTGTTGCATACTTATATAGAACCAATAAGTACTGAAATCGTACATGGCTCAGGAATGCTTGTTCATGGATACACAGCATAACTAAAATGCTCGAAACTCATCCAACCTAAGAGCATCCTTTGTGTGTTTTAGCCACGAATTAGAATATCAGTTTTAGATTTCTCCTTAACCATTATACGCTTGAGTTCTTTCCTTTTTGGTTAATCTTGGAGCTTTTTATCACTGTTGTAGGTAGTTTTGCACGCCTTTGCCTTTAGACCATTTAACTCCTCTTCCATTTGTGCTTTGAGCTTGCATTCTTTACTTGCTGCAGTTCTGATTTAGTTCAGTTACATTAATGATATGCCAGGCTGAGTCATTGACTGGCATAGGAAACCCAATACTAGCAGGGAAAGAATTGCTTAAAAACGGGATACGAACGAAATGGGTGATTGTTAAGATGGGTTCAAGGGGCTCAATTCTAGTCACCATGTCCGGTATATCCTGTGCACCTGCATTCAAGGTATGATATTTCTTTGATTTTCAGAGTCGTTTGACGGTGCAATCTTATTGTATATCCTTGAAACCTTGCATCTTATTCTCCCATAGAATGCCTTAATTTTAGGATGTTTTTATTACATCTTATTTGAATGTGTTCATCGTTAATTTAAGCCATGCACTGCCTCATTAACTGGACATTGCTGAATCCTTATAGCTGTCAAAAACTGAGAGGATGCAAAAACCAAGAGCATGCCATGTAGTGAACATTCTTTTATACTAATCATCTTTAACCATGTGAGTTTTGCTTTTCTACACCCATATATATAGCTTGAAAAGCGGAAAGTAAAATCTTGATCCATATCTTGAGTGGATAGTCCAATATTTCATGTTAGTGGAACTCTTATTTCCATTGCATGTCATGAAAAATGGAAAGTAAGATTTTGATTAGTTTTCTAAAATGTGATCAGGTGAATGTCATTGACAGTGTTGGATGTGGAGATATTTTTGTAGCTGCTATTGCATTTGGTTATATCCATAATATGCCCTTGGTACATACATTGGCGATTGCAAACGCGGTAGGTGCTGCAACTGCCATGGGCTGTGGTGCTGGTCGTAATGTGGCTACCTTGAATAAAGTAACTGAACTCATGAGAGCATCAGACATCAACGAGGATGATGAATTCTGGAGTGAACTGGTAAAAGATTTGAACAATGAGGAAATCACGTTTCTGTCAAAAATGGTCATAAATGGAAGGAACATTCAAGTAAACCACATGTCTCTACAAAAAGTGGTTTCTGAACTGCTGCCTAAGCTTGAAAATAGTTGGCTAGAGGGAAAAGTGGCTTCTTGATGGATGCAATAGAACGCATGCAGCTGCTTAGCATCAATTTGGTTTTTGAGGCACTAATTCATCCCCTCGATTTCATTGGGAGTTCTCCTTGCCATGAAATTGATTGCAATAACTAATGCAGCAGACTTCATCTTTTCTGTTCATAACTTTTCTTGCATTCTCATGCTCAAGTGTAGATGCTTCAATTCTTTGCTAATTTGCAACATGGTTAAATTGGGTTTTGATTTGATACCGGGTTGACTCATCTTGTCATACTGGATCAATTCGTGAGTCACCTGGTTAACGGATTTCTGCAACAGTTTTGGCTTGACCACCGTACTAGTCAAAAAGAATATTTATTCTTATTGAATCAAGAAAGAAAGAGAAAAAAGCCCCTAAGTGGGACCGACCGACCAGCATTAGTTACATGATTTGTGTCCGGCAGTGACTGTACTGTAAACAGTACACATACTTTTTCTATCAAAGGCAGAAGAAGCAAAGAAGAGTCGTCTAAGAGAGTAAATGACCTAAATACCCTCAAGAAAGGATAGCCTAACGAGTCCACTGCACAGAGCTGCTCCGTCGTATACCCTCTGATCTATTAATAATTTCCTGTCTTCTCCTTCACTACCCTTCCCGTTTGCTCGAATTCCTTCTCGCCCACCCGCCTCAAAAAAACATTTTCCGCTTCATTCAACTCTTAAATTACGCTTAATCACCTACTAATCCCATTATCCCCCCTCTTAATTAGTGCCTCGTCTGGTTTAAAGCTTTGATTTTGCTGCTTCTGCCAGACCTTGCTTGCTGCAGAACATTACAGGGTTTTTTACGTGAGTATTTTTTTTCCTTGTCTCTGTTTCGTTGCTGAGGCGAATTTGAGGAAAGTTGGGGTTGGGCATGTTTCGTGTTGTTCTGGGATTAAAAGTTCCATAAAAGAAAAGGGTTCTTTTTTAGAAAATGGATTATTTATTTGCTTTGGGAAGCGTGTTTTTTAAGCTGTACCTTGTTTGGCTGCTGAGAATGTGTAAGCTGAGGTGAAGTTTATTTTTCTCCACAAGGTTATGTTTTTAACTTGTTAAGCAAGCCAAGTGTTTAATGTGGCTTTTTTGCGGCCAATTCTCTCTGTTCTTGTTTTTCTTGATGGGAAACCAAACTGGGTATTTGAGTTAATTTGAACTTCTTTTTTTTAGTTTCGACAAAGTTCATTTGGTCAGTTTTATGTCGTGTAATTGTTGTTTGGTTGATTCAGATGGGGTGTTTTAGATGATATAGCGGGGTTCAATTCCAGCTGTCCCCTGGGAGTCATCAAATTCTAGATAAAATTATAGCAGACTTTAGGTAAGCATTTGTTCTTACTAATTTCTGATGAATTTGGTATCGTCTAGCTCTATAAAGTAATATAAAAGAATGCTGATTTGCAATGGATTTTGGGCTCAGGTACTTATTTTATAGGAGCTTTCTTTAGGTATATATTTGAGTCATGGAGAGCAATGATTTGATGATTGAGCATAATCGGGATTTAATGCTGAGGCCCAATGAGTATTTGAAACCGGGGAATAGTGTCGCTTCAGTTTTTGATCAATGTCTGGGAGACATTGATGATTATAGTTTGAATGTTCAGGACTTGGGTTCGAGTCAAATTGATGATCACAGACTAGCTGTTAATCAGAGCAATCAATACAACATGGTTCTGCGTCATGGAGATGTTCAGAATTATGAAGAGAATGGGTTGGGTTTTGATAGTGATGTGAAGCTGGATGCTGATCAAGGATATAACGATGTTGATGACCAAGAAAATCAGTTGACCCCTATCTCTGAGGGAAGAAGGTTAGGTTTAATGGAAAAACATGAAGTGGCTATTCAAAAACACTGTGTTTCTCACGAAAATTCAAATTCAGATGTGAAACAAAATCAGGAGAAGAGCTTTGTAATTGATACTCCTGTTATTCAGTCTCGTGTCCATGATCCTGTTCCCAATCATCAGCTGACTGTTGGCCAACAGTTCCCTGATGTGCACAGCTGTCGGAGAGCACTCAGAGATGCAGCCATTGCTAATCACTTTGAGATGAAGACAATTAAATCTGACAAGACTCGTTTTGTGGCTAAATGTGCTAGTGAGGGATGCCCTTGGCGAATTCATGCTGCAAAGCTTCCAGATGTTCCTACATTCACAATTAGGACCTTGCCTAATGAACATACTTGTGTTGGAATTACACATCTTGGTCACCAACAAGCCTCGGTCCAGTGGATTGCAGACTCCATTGAAAGGAGCCTCAGGGAAAACCCTCATTACAAACCGAAGGAGATACTGGAAGAAATTCACCAGGTTCATGGTATCTCATTATCATACAAGCAAGCCTGGAGAGCAAAGGAGCGGATCATGGCTGCTGTTAACGAGTCATTTGAGGAAGAATTCCACCTCCTCCCATGGTATTGTCACCAGATTGGAAGGACAAACCCAGGAAGTATAGCTGTGGTTTATGGGAATCCTGTTGATAGAAGTTTTGAACGACTATTTGTTTCATTCAAAGCTTCAATTTATGGATTTTTGAATGCTTGTTGTCCTCTTATCGCACTTGATGAAATGCTTTTGAAAGGCAAGTACCATGGAACCTTGCTTTTGGCCACTGGTTTTGATGGAGAGGGTGCTGTATTTCCTTTGGTGTTTGCCGTGGTTGATGATGAAAGCAAAGGTGAGTGGATGTGGTTCCTCTCAGAGCTGCATAACTTGCTTGAAGCTAACATGGTAAACATGCCAAAGCTTACAATTCTATCAGATAGACAGAAAAGCATCATAGATGGAATAGAAGTACACTTCCCAAGTGCTTTTCATGGATTATGCATTCATCATCTCATCGACAATTTCAGCAAGGAGTTCAACAATACCATACTAGCCAACCTTCTCTGGGAAGCTGCTTTTGCTCTCACTGCAATTGAATTTGAACAGAAAATCACACTGATTGAAGAACTGTCAGAGGATGCAGCTCATTGGATTAGAAGAATTGACCCTCACTTGTGGGCGTCAGCATATTTTGAGGGAAAAAGACTTGGACATCTAACAGCTGACATAGTTGAATCATTAGGTTCTTTGATACTGGAAGCATCTGGACTTCCAATAATTCAAATGATGGAGTGTATCCGTCAACAGCTGATGATGTGGTTCAATGAGCGTCGTGAAACTAGTTCGCAGTGGACAAGCATACTTGTTCCCCCTGCTGAGAGGCAAGTGTCTGTAGCTATTGAGCACGCACACGCACATCAGGTCCTCAAAGTAGATGATGCTGAATTTGAAGTTATTTCTGCTGAAGGTTCTCATATCGTAAATATTTGTAGCCGCAATTGTTCATGCCGTAGATGGCAGCTATGTGGGCTGCCCTGTGCTCATGCTGTGGCAGCTCTTCTCTCTTGCCGGCAGAATGTTTCTCGGTTCGCTGAAAGCTGTTTCACTGTGGCAAATTATCGCAAGGCATATTCACAAACCATACACCCAATACCAGATAAAGCCCTTTGGAGGGAACTATCAGTAGGATTAGACAATGCAGGCTACAATTCTGTCGAACTCGTTATAAAACCTCCAAAGTCTCTTCAACCACCAGCAGCTAAACCAAGAAAAAAGCGAGTTTGTACAGAAGTTTCGGGGCAAATGAAACAGACTGTGCATTGCAGCCGCTGCCATCAGACTGGACATTTTAGAACAACATGTACTGTCCCTCTATAGATGCTGGAATCAATTCCGCAGAAAAGTTCGTGGATATTTTTGCTAGATTGCATAGAGCTTTGACAATGAATTTGCTTCCAGTGCCCAGATTTATTCCTTTTGTTTATAATGTTGGGAAAAAATTAACATGACAAGGGCACTATTTTGGGATACTCACAATTACTCTCAGGTTTATTGATCAGCTCTGTGTTATTTCCCATCCTGGCTCCCTGCTAGTCCTTTTACACAAGCTACTTGCTCCTGCTTAGGATCTCCATGTAAGACAGTGACAAGCTATTTAGTTCGCAATGGTGCTATACGTTCCTATATGGCTGCCAAGCTAATCCATTTTTATCTGAATTCAATCTGATCAACTTGTTCTTAGTCATTGGTTGGAAATATAAGTTAACTCATTTTTTTTAAATTTTATTTTTTTATTAAAAATTAATTTTTTTATATGTTATGTTGATCTCAAAAATATTTTTTAAAAATTAAAACAATATTTTTTTAATATAAAAAATACTTTAAAAAATAACTATAAATATATTTTATAGTTAATGCATCTTCTTCACTTTTACCAATAAAAATAAGAACCAGAAAAATAACAGGTTATGCAAAAGGCTACTCAAATCAACAGTCCCTCCCATTTTTTGTCTTTTTCCGGATTTTCTTTATTATTATTTGTAAGTTTTTATTTAGTGGGCTTAAGCTTGGACTTTACTTCTTCTCAGGTGAGCCTTTATTTGGGTCCAGAAATCTAGGGAGCTATACCTAGGTGTGCCCTTCGGGCCGGGCCTTTACCTAAGGCTTTCTAAACCTTCGGATCTTGTCAAGGAGCCCACGGCACATAGACCGAGTGAAATAGGTGATATCTCAGAAGCGAAGTTCGGAGTCGAACACCTGACCTTAGTCAAGGAAACTTCCAGCTTCAAGAAGGGTTTAGTCATATCTTTTCATTTTCTTTACCAGGAAAAATAAAATGTGAAGGCACATGGATGAAGAAGAACAATGCAGACATCTTTGAACCCTCCTAGCCAGCATGAAAAACTGTGTGCTATTTCACAAGAGTCATATCTTGTTAAGGAAACATCGAAGTCAAATAACTCGAGCTAGCTACTTGCAGGCATAATTGTAACTAGCAATAATTCTTATATTATGGACTTTTCTCTTGATGAATGATTTATTTATTTATTTATTTATTTTTAATGATGGATCTAATTATCAGATCAAAGCTTACAGCATGAGATCACCCCAAGCAGAAAACATATAATGCAATGATGCTTTCAAATCTCCTCTAACGAACTGCCTGTCTCTCGGTTTGAGACAAGGTCTTTCAAAATGCTCAAAGTCTAAGGCCAGATTATTTGCCTTAGTCGCTAAGAAGTTGAATTTTCTATCACGTTGAAAAACAAAAGGAGATGTTTTGAATTTTGACTTGCGAATTGGGCTTTCTGGTGTCTTTTGGAAAAAGAAGAAGAAGAATAGGCTTTGTGTTGGCCGGATCTGCAGGTTGTTTTTGATCGGTACTGGTGTTTGGTTGCTGTGTCAGTGATAAAAGAGAGGAAAATGGTTAAAATAGAGAGGATATAAAATTATATATATTCATTTTAAAATTATTTTAAAAATATATTTATTTTATATTTTTATGTGTTTTTATCTCTTCAATCAAATTTCTTTCTCTCTTTTTATTGTTCATCTATTTTCTTATGGGACACTTAATCAAACGCAATCCTAAACATGGTTTGTTGATTTCGAATAGCTCCATCAAAATTTGGAGATCATGATCTGCGATCAACAAACAAAATCATGACCCCTACTCCAATTAATTCCTTGATGAAACAATACATTCTGAACTGTCACAGTAACAATTGGCTGTTTTAAGCTGAAGTGAAACTCAATTACTCGAGATCTTTGTAAGTTGTAGGCAACAAACATGAACCTATCTGCGCAGAGGGACATACTAGTTCCTTATCCTACTCGGGAATTATTTCTTAATAATTATTGCTGGCCTAAGTATGAGATACCCTACCAATTGCTGCAAGTGAAAGAAGCCTACTCTGTTTTCAAGAGGTTCGGTTGCAGAAACGTTCTCAATTATGAACCTTCCCTGCCCAAGAATTATAGGACACCATACTTTTTGAGAACATGTATGCTTGGAAAGTATAAACAAGAAAGCTATCACCAAATGGGGCTCTGACTTTTCATGTAATTAATCTGTACAGAGGAAGTGATTCCATTTGCTTTTTGGTAGTTCTCACTCTAATTGCTGTAGGTAATATAGATTTATCAATCAATTGTCGTTTAAAGATGCATTATTATAAACTTTATTAATATTCTGTCATCATTTCCAACCATACGTGGCCCCAAAAGGCCTGTTTTGACTCCTCATTTTTTTCCATCTAAAACTATATTTTTTTACGTATGTTTGTCTTCATGATAGATAAATTCATGGGCCATGAATCGTATGGCTGTACTTAGGAGGTGTCTCTTATTGAAGCTGAATTCTACGGTGGAACGACACAACTCACAAGGACTAGCGTCCACAGGAATGTGATGATGATCTCTAGCTAGCTAGTCTGCATTGTACTCTAACATGGGAATCGAACATGAGATACAGTGGTTTTAGGATGCTTTAACAGTGAACCGGACATGCTATCTACCAAATTGTAATGAACCGCAAAATAGAGATGCCCATTGAAAAAAGAACAAAAAAAAACATTTTGTATCCATCTTAGAGCAGCAATGGATTTTGTGTATCGACATATATTGGCTTGCCATCGTCTGCTTTAAGGATTAGCAATGACCATTTCACAATCTGCCAGCATCATAAGGCTGATTGAATGAATTGCTTAATTTGATGTCTATAGTCCCAGAAACAAGAGCTGAGAGGGTTTGTCCAGCATTTTCTTTTCTCAAACTGAGATTGTACCATGGTCACATGTAAGTAGATGCTCAGTTCCTTGTCATAAAAGGAAGTGTCGTATACCATATGATCATAGCTTCGTGCCTCTCTGAACTAATACCTCAGGCTTCTCAAACTCAACTCTCTACATCACTCAAGTTCAGTTAATGCATATATCAAAGTCTAAATCATTTTAGAGAAAACAATAAAAATTAATTTCCGAAGAATGATAGGTTAATAATTATTGCAAATTAAAGTTTAAGTGAATCAGTTACCGATCAATGAAGCTTCAACGCCGAGTTCGACAAACTATTTTTACGCAGAATTAAGTTATAGTTTACCAATATTGATCAGTACTTGATGTTCTAAGAATATTTTTTGGTTCCTTTGCACATGTATATCGTAGGTAGATGATGATCATGGGAAAATATATTCTCCCAGATCGAACTATATGCTCCGGAAGTTCAAGTATTCGAAGTAATATGCTAAATCGTCTACTTTATTTGGCAACAAAATTCAAGCTGTCGGTTGAAACAATATACAATCTTTTCTCACTTTACAAAAGCAACTTTACTTGCAGCTACCTTTGGAGGATTTCAAACCTCCTAGTCTTTTACATATTCATGGATTATTTAGTTCTTAATTAGTCATGAGCATAGTCAATTAATTCTGGAATTATATATCAGCTCTCGCTTATTGAGGAAATTGCACGATGAATTAAACTAGTGTCCCTTATGCAATTAATTAGTGACTTGCATGGTTTTCCACCGATCTTTTGTCCATTTCTCTTTTTTTTATGCTGACTATATATTACATCTTTAAGTAGTTTAGGCCAACTGTGTTAAGCTTGGGAATTAAGCTTGGAATTGTACATGCTGCATATATATACGCCATCGATCAATGGTGGAGGTTCTCCACCTCCCACCCTCCCTTTACCTTAGTGGCAAGCAAAGGACATATCCTTTACTTGAAATGAACACAAAAGGGTCAAGGTCTTGCAAGCAAGACTATCTAAGAGTGGTCAGCTCCACCATTCACGGATATCTACTTAAAATTAGGTTTTATTTTAGCTATACATGGCTGCAATATTCTACAGTTCAATTATCAACATGGAGTTATATATCAAATACATATGTGGCATGCCCTTCTTTATTATAAAAGCATTCTTGAATATTCATTTAATAAAAAGAGCATCTAGAAATTTGAGATTGGGTGAGCCAAAGAATATTAATATACAGAAATCATTTACATAAAATAAAAATTATACAATATTAAAGATTTTGGAGTAAAATATATCTTCAAGAAACCATTTTATAGAAAAAAGGTAAAATTTGGATGAAACAAAATATTATTTACTATAATAGTGTTTTGTGTTTTTTTCTCTTTTATTTGTTTAGTTTTTTTTTCAATTTTATCTTTTAATATTAGTTTGTTTTGAAAATTATATTTCCTAATTTTTTTAATTTCTTTTCTATTGAGTTATATATCTGTTTCATGGATTTAAGTTTTTTTTTTTCTCATTTCAACCTTTAACATTAAATCTGTTAAAAGGATATCATAATTATTTTTATTTTTTTATAAATTTATCTTAATTACATGATTTACGTCATAAGTTTAATATGTTGACTTGGGTTATTTTTTAGGTTATTTTGTCAAAATAATATTTATTTTACGTTATACTTCAGCTTGAATTGATTAGAGATTAATTTTTATAATGTTATATATATAAAGTTGTTATAATTTTATGATTTAAATTGTGAGTTTGATTAAGTTATCACAAAAAAAAATTATTATAAAACATTTTAATAATGTTTAAATATTTTTTTATATTAAAAAAGTAATCTGAACGGCAAACGTATTACAGTAAAATAATCTAGTTTTAAACTAAATTAATGGGTTTGAAAGGAAGATGTTGAATTTACAGAACATATTTGTGCCGGTCCCTAAAAGAAGCTGTCTCTGTTTGGGTTGACCTCGCCATCAAATTCACACCCTCCCTGTTTGGACCAGCTGAAATTACCATGTTCGAGGAAAAAAGTAGTTAAAGTTAAGTCAGTTATTCTGCCCAAAAAACATTTCTCATTCGGTTGTTAATTACCTACGTGCGAAAAGTGGATTCCAACTCTATCTCATGTGACTCATGCTAGAATTTCTTTATCATCCCTACGTATATATAAGGACCCCATGAAAGAAATAATTAATGCATGGCCAAATCAAAACCTCCATAATCTCTCTCTCTCTCTCTCTCTCTCATGTATTAAGTATTAACTGTTGAGGGGATTGCTGTCTGGTTCGATGTCATTCATGTGAAGCTTT